GGGGGCGGGGTTGCGGGGCCGGTGGCGGGCCTGCGGGGTTAGGCCGCGGGGTACCCGGGGCTGGGCGGCGGCGGGGGTCGTCCGGCGGTGGCGGGGGTCCGGGGTCCGCAGCCTAACACCGGCTTTGCCCCAGGGGATCCCCGCTCGACAACGCTGGTTATTTGTAAGTGGTTTCCCTTCCTCAGCGAGGGAGATACTTAGAATTCTTACTGGTGTGTCCAATGCGACCCATTTCACTCTGGGTTGTTTTGGAGGCCGTACTCCTTGATGATGGATCCACCATCCTAAAGTCTTATTTCCTCAGTTAACCCTCATGTCCGAGAGACGATAAAATTTGTCCATCATTTTTTGTACAACCCTCATATTTTCATGCGATGCTTCAATCATGGGAGATAGATCATCAACGAAAAGATAGTAGACATGTAGAGCCTCCTCGAGTATTAAAGTGATTGGGATGCGTTTGATGTCCTGATGTTTCCTTAGGTTAGCAACTAAAACCTCTATTACAATTACAAACAGAAAGGGCACAATCGGGTCCCCTTGCCTAACAAATATGTAATGAGATAGGTGGGCCACATTACCATTAATCATTACCCTAGTGGTAGTATTATGATGTAGAATTTCAATCTACCTTCTGAAGAAAGGACCAAAATCGAAATTTTTTAGACATTTGTCTAAAAAGTACCAATCCACGTGATCATATGTTTTTTCGAAGTCTATAAAAAAAATCGTCGCATTGTGTTTGGATTGGCGGGATAGCTTGACCAACTCATTGATTAATAACACATTGTCTTGGATAGTCCTTTCAATTATAAAGTCGGTTTGAGCTGGATGGATAATATCTGCTATGATCTTTGTTAATCTGTTTGTAAGGGTCTTTGCCACCAACTTATAGACCACTATGAGTAGGGTAATTGAGCGGTAGTTTCAAATATTCGATTTACTTCCTTTTTGTACAGCAGGGTTAATATTCCTTGTCCCACATTGTCAATCTCCTCCATTTCTCCTGTTATCCAGACTTCTTGGTA